CGGGAGGGCGCCCGGCCCGCAGCGGGTGACGCGCCCGTGTCTCCCGCAGGCGCCGGGAGCGGCTGTGCTGGGCGCTCGTGGGCGGCGGCGAGTGCCCGCTGCCCGCCGGCCATGTCGGGCCGCGGCAAGTCCGGCGGCAAGGCGCGCGCCAAGGCCAAGTCGCGCTCGTCGCGGGCCGGGCTGCAGTTCCCCGTGGGCCGCGTGCACCGGCTGCTGCGCAAGGGCAACTACGCGGAGCGCGTGGGCGCCGGCGCGCCCGTCTACCTGGCGGCCGTGCTCGAGTACCTGTCGGCCGAGATCCTGGAGCTGGCGGGCAACGCGGCGCGCGACAACAAGAAGACGCGCATCATCCCGCGGCACCTGCAGCTCGCCATCCGCAACGACGAGGAGCTCAACAAGCTGCTGGGCGGCGTGACCATCGCGCAGGGCGGCGTGCTGCCCAACATCCAGGCCGTGCTGCTGCCCAAGAAGACGCAGAGCTCCAAGAAGTGAGCGCGGCGCTGGGGTCCCCCGGCCCGGCCCCGAGGCGCGGCGGGCGGCGCGGCCCCTCGGGGACCCCCAGGGACCCCCTGGCGCCGCCTTCGGACTCGCTGCCCCCGAGCAGCCCGGCGAGGCCGCGGGCAGCGGGGTTGGAATCATGCGACACGGAGAAGTTCCTCGGGCAGCACCAAGTGACTGTGGGTCCCAGCTATTTATTTATTTTCTTTGCGGTGAAGCGAGCGCATCCCCTGCCGTAGGGGAGCTGCAAGCGCCTGTTCCGAGGCGTCTCCTCCTTGGGGGCCTCCCTGCAAGGTCACTGGGCTGCGCGGGCGCCGCTGGGCGCGGGTGGGCGCCGGGAGCAGCGCCCGCTCCCCGGAGCCGCAAGGTCGGGCGCCCGCGGGAGCCGCCGTGTCCTCCCATCGCCGAGCGGCTCCCGAATGCGGAGCCCTCGATGTCGTAGAGGCTGCTGTTCCCTAGTCGCACGTGCAGAAATGACCTGCAATGTTGTCCGTTTTTTTTTTTTCCCTTTTGTTGTCTTTTTTTTTTTTTTTTTTCCCCTTGTTCAACACTATTCCTGGTTCTGAGAAAATAAAGTGCTGCTGATATCTGTTAACTGTAACCCTTTCTGGATTAATACTTCCTTTGGAGAGCCCCGGCGCTGGTGTTGCGGGCAGGTGTCCGGGTAGGCCGGTGTTTACGGAAGGCTCCCGCTGCCGGAGCCGGCCCTAGTCGTGTGCATGCAGCCGTGTCCCGGCCATCGGCCGCTAGACCTCCACCGTGCTTCTCTTTTTTTAAAAAAAATAGTAAAATGAGCCATTGTTTATGTGCTGTAAGTAGCATGTGTTCAGCCTATGGAATAAGCTGTTAATCTTGTGGATGAAGTGACTTGCTCTGGTTCTGACTTTGTTGTTACCTAGTGTAGGTGAGTCCGGCTCGGGATGCCCGCGGGGTTCCCCGCTCGTGGCAGGACGCGGGAGCAGCGTGTGCGGTAGCTCACAGGGGTGGACGCGGTGCCCGGGGTCCCTGCGTGACCCACGCGCCGTGGGGCAGGACGGGCCGTGTCCTGTGCGCGCGGGTCGCCCCCGGCTGCTCCCGTGTCTGTACCCAGCGTCTCGTTCTCGTCCCTCGTCTCTCTCCTCGAGGACCGCCGTTCTGTACCGCTTGGAGAGTGCTGTGTGTTTCTTAGAAAATGCAGAACCTGTGATACCGAGAGAACCCAATTCCCCATTAAACTGGTTGCGTGTTGAACGCTGTGGAGCTTGCTGTGTCTCGTCGCCTCCGCGCTCACCTGCCCGTGGGGGGGGACGCGGCCGCTCGGCGGCACCGGGGCTCGGAGCGGGAGCGAGGCCGGAGGCCGCGGCCTCCGCGGGCCCTGCCGCTGCCTCTCGCCCCCGCGGCCGCCCGAGGAGCTGCTGGGCGGCCCTGCGGACAAGTGGGCAGCGGGGCTGGGCAGGGCCTTGGGAAGGCGCCTGGTGAGGGCCAAGGGAGACGCCCGGCTGCAGGGTCCGGCGCCCTCGCCCCTTGCTGCACCCGTCAGACCGCTGTCCTGGTGGGTGCTCTGCAAGCTCCAGGTTTGTTCAGCCAGAGCTGGGGACCCTGGTGCAGCCGGGGTGATGCGGGAGGGCAGCGGGGCAGGGGGCTGGATCCCACAGGGTCTGGGCATGCTGCCCTGCAGCGCCTGTGCCCATGCAGCTCCGTAGCCCCGTCCCGTGTCCCCCGGCCCCGCTGGGGCGCAGGGGGAGCCCTGAGCGCTAACGAGGAGGTGGCTCCGAGTGCTCTGCCCGTGGGCGCTGCCCAAGAGCCTCCTTGGGCGCCGCGAGCGGCCGGCGGGAAGCGCCGCCGTCGCGGGGCCGGGGAGGGAAGTCTGGCCTGTCCGACCAGCATCGCCCAAGGGCTCGGCCCTCGCGTCGCCCTCTCGGCGTCTGCGCAGCGCTGTGACCACAGGACGGGAGGCGTCTGCAGCTTGGGAACGGAAAATCTGGGCTCTGCTCTTGATCTGCAGTTCAAAGTACAAAGACAAAAAAGGAGGGAGGGGGGCCTGGCTCTGGAAGGGACGTTGTCACCTTCAGGGGAGCTGGTGGCTCCCCCGGGAGCTCTGCCGCAGCCCTGCAGCTGAACGAGGGCCCGGCTGGGGAGGCCTCCCGCGGAGGCCAGCGGGGAGGCAGGGTCGGCGTCCGCCCTCCGTGGAGCGAGGAGCGGCCCTGGGCACTTCGTGCCTGTGCTTGGCAGCTCCCCGTGGCAGCCAAACCGCAGGATGCGCCGCGGCCCCGCGCCGAGGCCGGCGGCCCCGCGGCGCTGCTGTCTGTGTCTGTGCACTGGAGCCTGGTCCGTGTGCGCTGCAGCTCCAGGGCCTGCTCCGCTTCCCTGCGGGATGAGCGCGGGGCACTCTGTGCAGCTCAAGCTCCCTGTCCGGTGCGCGGCGCTGGTGCCGGCGGCGCCCTGGGAGCTCCGGGCGGGATGGAGCCCGCGGCCTCTCCGAAGGCGTTGCGGGGTCTCTGGCTGCAGCAAGTCCTGCCCCACGGTGCTGCTCATTCAGCCGCCTTCCCTGCGGCCGCTGGACACCCGGGCTGGACGTCCCCACGCCGATGCCTCGTGCTCTGAGGTGAGTGCTCCGTCCCCGCGGGAACCCTCGCTCTGTAGCAGCCTGCCTGGGCTGTGCTGGGCTGCACCCTGCCCTTGCCGCGCGGCTCCGCCGGCTCCCACGGGAATGGGAGGCTGCACGCACCTCATGCCACTTCCCAGGTGAGGCCAAGCGGCCCCCGCGGCAGCAGCGGCCCTGCCAGCCCCGAAACCTGCAGTGTCACCTCGCGAGGAGGACACGGCCCCGTCCGTGCGCGAACGCGGCAGCTCTCGGGGCGCCCGGTGTCATCGGCAGATGGTGAGAGCGGCGCAGCGTGCGCGGGCAGAGGCACCGCGGCCGGCCTGGCCCTGCAGCTGCTCGGCCTAAATATAGACGCCGAGGGAGGCTGCCTTTGCAGAGCGCGCCTGGGCCCTGCCAGGGCAGACGAGCACAGCTGGCTTCTCCTGCCCAATTTAGCTCATGGATGTTTCCTGAGGGAGAAAAGCTGCGTCTCGTGCTTGTACCAAGGAGGCGCGAGCAGCCGGGCTGGCGTTGCGGGCAGCGCTGTCCTGGGGCAGCTGGAGGTGCCAGCCCTGTGCTGGGAGCGCAGCTGGACCCCCGGCTGCTGTGTCTGGGGTGCCCTGGGTCACCCTGAGCCGTGTCCAGGTGTCCGTGTGGCACCTGCTGCCCTGCTGCCCTGCTTCCCCCAGCTGCAGCGCACGGGGCGGTTACGGCGCAGGGCGGCACAGCCTGCGTGGGCATCGTCACTTACAACAGTGCGCGCAGAAGCCAGGGGCCCTTACGGGGCTGTGCTGGCTCAAGCTGCCGCGGGAGCTGCTCCTTCTGCTTCCTCTGGCCTTGCGTCCCGGCCTGGCGCTGCCTGCGGGCTGGGCAGGAGGGAACGCCGCATTTTCCACCAGGTACCCGGGCTTGGCTCCAATGTGGGCAGTGCCGCGGGGGGCAGTGCCACCAGGGTGGCTTCCAGGAGCTGTCCTCAGCGCAGCGCTGTGCACCGGGACAGGCTCCAGCAGCAGCAGCCCGTGCAGCCGGGCACCTCGCTGCCCTCCCAGCTGCCGCGCTTCCCCGGGACGAGGCGCCAGCACCTCAGCTCGTGCTCCGGCCTGATCCCCACAGAGCCCGGCCCTGCCCGGCTTTGGGGTGCTCGGCTGTGCTGGTTCCACCACCCACGGCTTCGGCTGCTGCCGCTTCCCCGGTCTGCTCCTCACCGGCTGCAGCCCCGCTCCTTGGAGCATCCCTCTCTCCAGGTACGTACCCGGCCCCTTCTCCCTACATGTCACCCCGTTGCAGGGGGGTGCTGTGCTTTGTTAAGGGGCTCTGTCCCACCAGGCTGCCAGGGCGCATGCAAACATGCGGAAGGCGGAACAAAATGGCCTAGATCCCTGGCAGCCTTTATGCAATCTCACCCGCGTGAGCTATAAATAGGCACGGGAGCTGGGAGGACGAGGGGGGGCCCTGCCAGCGTTTCGCGGTGCCTCTGTGCTCGGCGTGGCGCCACTCGCAGCCGCAGGGTGCCCGGGGCAGCCCCAGACGCTGCCCCCCGGGGCTGGGGGTTGTGTGGGGCCGCATGAGCCCCCTGCTCTGCAGGGCAGGGTGGCTCCGTGCCTGGCATCCCAGCCCCTCTGGGCAGGCACCGCCGCTGCTCCCGCACCTCCTGTGCCAGCCCCCGGCCCGCGCGGGGAGCAGCACGGCCACCCTCCCCCCGCGGCAAACCACAGCTCAAGGTTTTATCAGTTTATTTGAAACGACGACGACCAAAAAAAAAAAAAAAGAAAAAACCCTCACAAAAAAAAATCCCCAAAATGACCAAAAAAAAAGAAAGGCCATTGAAGAGGCGGCCTGGCGGCGGCCGCAGGGCAGCGCGCTCCGCCGCGGCCGCCCCTGGTCCCGCGCGGGCGGCCGCCCCCTCGCGGCGGCCCCGCGCAGCCCATTGGCGCCCGCCGCGCCGTTGCCATGGCGGCGGCGGCCGCGAGCCAATAGGGGGCGCCGTCACATTCCGCAGACGCTTCGGCGCAGGCAACGGCAGAGGGGGGCGGCGGAGGGAGCGCGGCCCGCGCGCGGGCGGCGGCGCCCACGTGGCGCGGGGGCGCGTAACAAAATGGCTGCCATGGCGACAAGGCGGGAAAAAAACAACACGAGCCGCGTAAAATGCCGGGCGGGGGGGGAGGGGGCAGGGGGGCGATAAAAACCGGCTACAACGAGGGAGGGGCGCGGGCGAAAACAAAGGGGAGCGATGGCGAGCGGGGGGGAGCGCGCGGGGACGGCGGCAGCCGCGGCGCCGCTCGGGGGGCGCGCGGCGGCACAAGGACAAAGCGGGCGGCGCGCGCCGCGCTCAGCAGTCCGTGCGGCGGCTCTCAGTCCTGCGCGGGGGCGCCGCGCCCCGCTCTCATGCCTTCCTGCTCTTGAGCGCCTTGGGCTTTGCCGACTTCTTCACCTTCTTGCCGCCCGGCGGGGCGGCCGCCTTCTTGGCGGCCTTCTGGGCCTTGCCCTTGTCCTTCCTGGCCGCCGCGCTGCCGGCGCCCTTCTTGTGCGCCGCCTTCTCGGCCTGCTTGCTCTTGGCCGCCGGCTTCTTCTCCGCCCGCCGCGACGCCGAGCCCGCCGCCTTCTTGTGGGGCTTGTGCGCGCCGCCGCCCGCGGCGCCCTCGCCGCCGCCCTCCAGCTTCTTCTTGTTGAGCTTGAAGGAGCCGTTGGCGCCGGTGCCCTTGACCTGCAGCAGCGTGTCGTTCTGCACGAGCGCCTTGATGGAGTACTTCAGGTAGGTCCTGCCGTTCTGCTGGTCGAACCAGGCCACCTTCTTGGCCTCGTTGTAGATCTTGGCCAGCGAGGAGCCATTGCGCTCGCCCAGCTTGCGGATCGTCTCCACCACCAGCTGGCTGTATTTGCCCGGCTGGTTCTTCTTCTTGTTGTTCTTCTTCTTCTTGGAGGGCGACAGCGAGGAGCCGCCGCCCCCTTTCGCCTTCTTGGAGGCTGCTTTCTTCTCGGGCGCCAGCGGCGCCTCCTCCGCCTCGGCGAGGGGCAGCTCGGCTTCTTCCAGCTCCACCGACATGGTGCTGCGGCGCGGCGGGCGCCGGGGCTCGGCGGGGACGGGCGCGCGGCGGCTGCCCCGGCGCTGCTGCTCCTTCCGCTGCGCGCCGCGCTCTGGCGGGGCGGGCGCCGCCGCCGCCCCTTATATGGGCGCGGTGCGGACCGCGTTGAGAACAACAACAGCCTGGTCCGCCGCCAGCTCCAGCTTGTGCTTCTTGGGGCCCCTTCG